TATTTAAGAGGGGACGTAATGGAATACTATTAATATGGTTTTTCCAGGAAAGTTCATAATCAATCAGAACACCAAGGTATTTGACAAAATCTTTCTTTTCTAAGGTACTCAATGCATCTATAACTGGATCATAAGCTTTTCACACCCTATTTTATGTCTGAATCCTAACCTGTCCCATCTTTCTATGAGAATTTTGCTTGATTATTGAATTAGATGTAACTTTATTTTCTGTTTTGCTTAATTTTTTGTTGTTTACATTGGCACATGTTTACTTTGATATTTTAAGCCTTGTATTATTGGAGTTGGTTAGATTGTTGTTATCTCTCTGTCTCATGATGATTCGACTGCCTTGCTGCTAGTTTCCATCAGGTGATTAAGCCAATTCTGCGATTTAATTGTTTAAGTCGAGTGTAGGACATGGAAAATGTATGTAAACACGCTGGTTGTAAAGACTGAGAAAATGGTCTCTTTTATGAAAACATAAACCTGCTATTGAATGGAATAGCACGACCAAATGCGGACACCCTTCCAAGTAGGAAGTTTGCTTCTCCATGCAAAGTGGCGACCCTTTGAGATCCTTCTCTGACTTGGTCTGTGATTTCTTCTTCTTCTTTCGCACTGCTACTTGTATCATATTTGTCTTCATTGGCAGGAAGGCCGACATCTCCTGTTAGGACAATGCTTTCCCCTGGCACAATGTCTTTTTCGTACAAGAAATTGGGGAGCGTTCCAGCCCTACCCATGGTTGTTTCTTGTTGGACAGTTCTTTGATGAACTGCAGCCCCAAAGGTATGTGCCCATTCCTTCATAAGCTGGGTGTCTTGAGCACTTATTATCCCAGGTGGAAGTTGTGGTCTTTGGGTTGATATAGTAAAATGCTGCCCAGTTTGTGGTCTTCTTTACACTCTCCTTGACAGCGTCTGAAATTCTTGACGTATTCAAGGACACTGCATAAAGGTGATTTGTGATGGACCACAGAGGGACAGTTCTTTACATCTAATGTCATGCATTCGTCAATAAAACAGGAATCAGTGCAGATCAATGTAGGATCTTAATGAACGTGACTTCTAACCTCAGTGATTTGATACCTCTTTGACAAGAACGACGAAAATAATGAAACTGGAAAAGACAAACAACATATGGGCAAAATGTGAGAGGCTTCACTTCCTTTGACACTCATAGCTTCAATACATAAACGGTATACATGTTGTAGTTCAATTTGCACTTTGGTACAATTTGTTTTTGTACCAGTACAGAATATATTAAACTGGTACAAAATATTTTGTGCTAGTCCAATTTTTAATTTCATAGTACAGTTTGTTGTTAACTTACAATATTAATTTAGTTTTCGGAGCACTTGTCTGCCATGAATAAGCTTTAGTTCTACTGTGGTTAGTTTTCATTGACAATCATCCCTTGTTACTTTTCATAAACCTGAGCTGAGGGTTAGTGTTAGGGTAAGGAAGGACAGTGTTAGGGTTCCAGTTATGGAAAGGGTACATGTAACTGGGTTAGGGAAGGGTTAGGGTTAGGGTTATATTCATGTGAGGATTTGCCCACCTTAATGAGGATTTGCCCACCTGGGTTTCGAGGATTTTCCCACTTATGAGGATATGCCCACCTCCTCATGAGGATATGCCCACCTTCATGAGGATATGCCCACCTCCTCATGAGGAGATGCCCACTTGAGGATTGGCCAACCTATTTAATATTCATGTAAATGAATATTTGTCTTTAGGTTCTAGCGGTTGCGGGGGAATTGCGTTATTTTTGGTCAGCAGGTAGCCTGATGTGAACTCTTTCTTTTGGGATCATTTGGGTTTTGTGCCTGTCACGCTTTTGTGAGTATTTAACATTATTTAGTTTTTTCATGTATTTCCTTATATTTATTTTTGATGTTTGCTTATCCTCATTATTCACCTAAACATGATGTTGATTGATGTTTTATGTTGGTAACAAGGTCACAAGGTGATTTTCACCATATATGGAGATTTCAAATTTTGATGGCGGCCATCTTGGATTTTTTGCAAAGGGGTTGACCCATGATTTTGGGTCAAAATTTTCACATTTCCATTAAGTCTGTGTTCAGTGAAATCAGACCTGGAAATGATGTTTGGCGATGGTGTAGAGTGTGTACAAGGTCATCTTTACCATATATGGAGATTTCAAATTTTGATGGCGGCCATCTTGGATTTTTTGCAAAGGGGTTTACCCATGATTTTGGGTCAAAATGTCACATGTTCTCTTAGTCTGTGTACGGTGAAATCAGACCTGGAAATGATGTGTGGCGATGGTGTAGAGTGTGTACAAGGTCATTTTCACCATATATGGAGATTTCAAATTTTGATGGTGGCCATCTTGGATTTTTTGCCAAGGGGTTTACCCATGATTTTGGGTCAAAATGTCACATTTCTTCTAAGGTTGGGGTCGCACTTGAGACAAACATTTGAAATGTCTGAAGATATCGCAGACAATTTTGTCTCAGAACTTGTCTGAGACAATTAAAATGTTGTTGTTTTGCTGTCGCACTGTAGAGACAAACATCAGAGACATCAACGTAAAGTAAACATAAGACCTCTCACCTCTCCCAAATTAAAGGAATTTCAATATAAATTAATCCACCGAATTGTAGTCACCAAAAAGGAACTTTACCGCTATGGAATCAAGGAAGATGATGAATGTATATATTGTGGTGAAAAAGACTCTATTAATCATACTTTTAGAGATTGTCATTTCGTCAAGATTTTCATTCAACGGGTTATCAACTGGTTCAATATAGAAAACAAGATCAATCTCAACCCATCTAGCGAAGAAAGACTGTTCGGCATCCTCTCGGACTTACATGAAAAGGTACTAGTAAGGAAATTCAATTATACCATGTTTATGAGATACTACATCTACGCCAACAAACTACACAACAAACCAATTCTCCTCCAAGACTTCGTTGGTAAAATGATAATTAAATACAGAATTGAAAAGCTATAAAATAACATGAAAAGTAACTCCTCTGACCTTTTTTTTTTTTTTTTTTTTTGTGTGTGTTTATGTGGGGGTGTGTGTGTGTGTGATGTACTAGAATTGTAAGTAGTGTAACCATTGAAATTATTAGTAGTACGAGCAGCGTATGGATGGTATTGTCAGTATAGCCAATATTGTAAATAGTGCAAGTATAGTGAATATTGTTAGTAGTATTTAGTTTCAGTAGTGTTTAGTACTGTAAACATTTAATATATGTCTGTAAGGCAAAAATAAATTTAAAAAAAAAAAAAAAAAAAAAAAAAAAAAAAAAAAAATAAGACCTCTCACTTCTGGCGTTTTTTTTTTTAACTTTTACTGCATAAATTATTATTTCCCGCTCAATGTGTAGAATAGAACGACGGCAATGAATCCGCGCCAGTTCGCTCTGTTTCTAGGTTTTTATTTCTATGTTCTCAACGTAAATGCAGCTAACGATGCTCAAAGAGTCATTCTTCTTTCTTCGCTCATACAAATACAAGCACTTCAAGTGCAACTTCTTTTGTGGAACCAACGTCGAAGGAGGTGTCGAGGACGTCGCTTTCCCTGTTTTTGGGTTTTGCCAAGACCACAGCAATCATGGTTTGACATACACTATTTTGATGCTACAATTCCAGGAGACTATTTTAGGCGTCAGCTCTGCTTAAACAGAAATACGTTCTCGGTGCTAATTGAATATTCTTCGCCCGCGCCTGACAAGACAAAACATGCACTTGCATGACTGTGTGACACCGGAAAAACTTTTGGCATTGGGACTGTATCGCTTGGCACATGGAAATTCCTACATAATGATAGGCCCAAATTTTAACGTAGGAAAAAGTACAGTTATTGAGGTGGTCCAAGATGTTGTTGAAGCATTATGCGACTTAAGAAATGAGTACATCAAGTTTCCTTCGACAAATAGGGAAGTTCTGGCCACTCGAGAAACTTTTGACGATTTAACGGATCTCCCAAACGTGGTAGGAGCCATCAATGGAACACACGTTAAAATTAAAACTCCCAAGGAAAGCGGACCTGATTATTTTAGTCGACTGCAGCAGCACGATGTTGTTGTCCAAGCGGTAGCTGACGGAGAAAAACGATTTTTGGATGTCGCTGCTGGCTTCCCAGGGAGCATGCACGATTTCAGAGTCTTGAGAAATAGTTCACTTTATCGAAGAATTACCAATAATGAGCTGTTGCTCGGACCAACTGTGAGAGTTGCTGGGAGGGAGATTAGACCCGTTTTGTTAGGCGACAGTGCCTATCCCCTCTCTACGTGTTTATTAAAACCGTACCACGAGGGTACGAATGACCCAGAGGAAATCAACTTTAACAAAGAACTTTCACGTGCAAGGGTATCAGTAGAGTGTGCATTCAGTATACTGAAAGGACGTTGGAGAATTCTCCAGAAACGACTTGATAGTGATATAGCATTTACCAATCAGATCATCATCGCATGTTGTGTGCTCCACAATTTTTGCATTGAAGCCGGAGATTTATGGGATGATGACGATGATGAAGATGGAAATGATGACGATTTTCCTGTCCGAGATGGGAATGGTGATGGCGCGGATTTAAGAGACTTTTTAAAGAATTATCTTCGGAATTTGTAGGAAAGGAAGATTTAAAAAGATTATTGACACAATGCTGTTTCAGGTAAATGAATTATTTAATTGTTTAACACTTTCATATTTCTATGATTCAAAATTATAGATAAGAATATAGCTTATAATTTCAATGAAGAATTTAGCAAAGGAACGAAGAAGTCACCGATACGATACAGCAAAGTTATTGTTGACAATATGAAAAAAAACTTAATCAAGTTCATTTTTTTTTACAAAATCAAAACAGAAAGATTCTAGGTGATTGTTATTACTCAATGACAGTAACATTTACAATTTCAATCACATTTCGAATCACTTGACAATATGTAATTGTTTAAATTAAGAGAAAAGGGAACCTCGCAATAATTACTACATCAAAGAGATAATTGTTCTGAATCACTACTTGTCCTTTGATGATTGCATTGCTTGCATATAATTGTTCATAAATTGATTCATGAGCTGGAGCTGCTGTGCTTGATTTCTTTCCATTGATTCCAGCACCCCAGAAATTTTGTCTCCCTGCTTCTGCAACTTCTTCATACTCTTGCGGAAAAGAGTATCCCCTTCTTCTTGTTCTTTGCACGGAGCTTTTGCACCTTTGGCGCACCTTCTTTCGTCGCGTTGACTCTTCCTTTCCTTCTTTCGTTTAAGACCAAAGGCAGCGAGAGACTGTTTGAATTCTTCATCGTCTTCTGGTCCTCCCTCCTTTCCATTTGAATTAGGGCAACTCGAAGAAGATCCTGGCGCAGATTCTTCAATGTGACTGAATGTCACGATGTCACGACATCCAAGAACGGAGTCAATCTCATCATAAAATGGCGAGGTTTTTCATTCGCCCCCAGTCTTGTGACGGTTGTGGTCTTTGGCCTCCTTGTACCTATCTTTAAGGTATTTCATTTTCCGTTGGCAGTGGACACTGGTAACTTTTCGGATCTTCGAAATTTCCTGAGCAATCTCCTCCCAGACTTGTCTCGCGTGCCGCGACTCTAGCCTCGTGTGCTTGTCACACCATAACTGCACAAGAAGCTTCTCCTCTTCTTCTCCCCATTTTCCGTACCCTCTTCCTGCTTTCCCTGAATTGCCAGACTCGGACGCCTCTTGGGGTTCTGGTGTTTCAGGTGGCGTGGGAGCTAGAGGCAGTGGTGCAGTGCCAGAGCAGCCTGCTTGTGCCGGTTGGAGAGGCTGGAAGGGCGCCAAAACTGCCGTCGCTGGTGGAAAGGTGTTCTGCGGAATTTGCTGCCTCAAGAACAATTGCCCTGGCCTATGGTGGTCTTGCGCTTCATTTGGGTTCATCATTTGATCAGAATGGATGTCCCAAAAACCGGGAAAATTGTTTCGAAATCCTGGATTCATTATTAGCCGTGAATGATACGAAAGTCACAACAAAAAGAACAAATGTGAAGCGGAAAAAATTTTAAGGATCACTGAATTGACTGACAGGTTTACTGCAAGAAAAACAATTTTTGTTTGTTGATCGCAAAAAGTTGTGCTCCGCGGCAGGACGACGGCACTTTTGAAGATTTGTCTCCGTAGACAAGTTTTTGTCTGCGTCGAGACAAGTAGGTCGCACTTGGCGTGGTCAACTGATGACAGGAATTTGACGGATTTTTTGGTTATCAAAACAAACTTGTCTAAGTTTTGTCTCAAGTGCGACCCATGCCTAAGTCTGTGTACAGTGAAATCAGACCTGGAAATGATGTTTGGCAATGGTGTAGAGTGTGAACAAGGTCATCTTTACCATATATGGAGATTTCAAATTTTGATGGCGGCCATCTTGGATTTTTTTTAAAGGGGTTGACCCATGATTTTGGATCAGAAATAAATAAAATAAATAAAAAATAAAATGAAAATAAAATAAAAGTCTGTTCAGTTCAGTTTATTGTATCCCCTTACATCACAAAGCAAAAACCTAACTATAACTCAACAAAAACAAATTAGTTAAGATACATGTATAGCATATGATGGCTCTAGTTATTATTGTCTAAACTATTTCTTGTTTTTTCTTTTAACATTTTTATTTCTTATCGCTTATGTTAAAAATGCTTACTTTTACTCATCAACTATAACATGTTTGAAACCTTAAACTATTCAGTTACGTAGCCTTTTTCTTATAATACCGACCTTATCGCATCATCTATCTGCACCTTCTGAGCTCCATATTTCTCGTAAGTCTTCATCGTTCATAAAGACCGCCTTGATCTCAGCCCTCTTTGGAACAGCCACAACATCCTTAAACGCGTTTTCTACAAGGAGAGAATCTTGTTCATCCCAGAAGCGGCGTCCCTCGCTCGTTGACTTTGTGCTGTCATCTTCAAAGTCAAACTATGACTCCGGTTGTGCTTCCTTGGGTGCTGTTGTTGTTTTCTCATCCCGTCTCTTCTTCTGCAAATAGTGAAGGTGATCTACAACCTTTTTGACTTTGGTCTTGTATGTTGCAAGTGCACACAACATGAGGTTCGTGCACATTTTGTTTCTTACAAAGTTGAACGGCAGGTTTGGACCATCAAGGTCGGCTGCAAAAACTTTGGCGGTTGCCATCTTCTGCTTGTCTGTAAGACCTCTTGGTCAGATCGTTCTGGAAGATACAAACAACAAAGGTGCTTTTTATGTAGAGTAGTTTCATTACGCTAATGAGAGAACCATTGAGGGTAAATGTATCATACTCAGTCACCAATGTCCATACCACCTTCATTCTCCGAAGTACTTGGTCCTGATTGTCCTGAGGTACGTGGTCCAGATTTTTCTGGAATAGACAAACAAAAAAGCGTTTTCTATGTAGAGTACTGTCATCACGGTAATGAGAGAACCATTGAGGGTAAATAAATCATACTTGCTCACCAGTGTCCTTAGCACCATCATTCTCCAAAGTACTTGGTCCTGATTGTCCTGAGGTATTGGTCCAGATTGTTCTGGAATAGACAAACAAAAAAGCGTTTTCTATGTAGAGTACTGTCATTACGGTAATGAGAGAATCATTGAGGGTAAATAAATCATACTCGCTCACCAATGTCCTTACCACCATCATTCTCCGAAGTACTTGGCCCTGATTGTCCTGAGGTACTTGGTCCAGATTGTTCTAGAATAGACAAACAAAAAAGCGTTTTCTATGTAGAGTATTGTCATTACAGTAATGAGAGAACCATTGAAGCTAAGTAAATCATACGCACTCACCAGTGTCCTTACCATCATCATGCTCCGAAGCACTTGGTCCTGATTGTCCTGAGGTACTTGGTCCAGATTGTTCTGGAATAGACAAACAAAAAAAGCGTTTTCGGATTTGAGGATATGCTGTTTTACAGCAGTTTAACTAAGATTAAAAGACTGGATAATCTGTCCCTCACCTTCGTATTTATCCATACTTTTCCCTTCGTCTCCTGTCTCCTTCTCTTTCTGTTTGTTGTATTCTGGGTTGGTTACACACTCGACAATATCCATAGCATTTGCCGCCAGGTTTGTGCACCGTGTACGGACATAGCATCGCCGCCGCGTGGTCACACTGTGTCCCATCATTTTTGCCACTTCCTTATCCTCCTTGGGCGTAGCATCTTCCATGGTTCTTGTTGCAATGAATTTGCGAATTTTGGTGTGCGATACTCGTTGGGTCGTCACACCAGTCTTTGCAAAAAACTCAGTAAGCCGTCTGCCGATCGTTCCTTTTTTGAAGCCATAGCCATCGTCTTTCACGAAGATCTTGTCTTCATCTGGATTGGCAAAATGAGGCCTGATCTTCTGCACATAGATGGCCATTTCGCGCTGGAGCTCCTGGTTCATACCCAGCATTGCAGGTCCATCCTTGGACCGTTTGTGTTTCGGTACTAAAATGATTTGTTTCCCTCTTTCCTCTCTTGCAGTTTGAAAGTCTCCAAGAACTGCGTTATTTAATGGTGCAGGTCGGGTGCCTGTCAGGAGGGCAAATTTCACTAGCAGAAGATACCGAACAAGGGCGAACTCTTCGAATGTAAGTTTTTTCCCTTCACTTGCCTCTAAGAGGTACCTCTCTCCATCGGTATAGGGTTCACTTTGCTTCACTTGTTGCATTTCTTTCATGGTGATCATCGCATCACACTCATCGATGTACCTGTGGACTTGACGGTCCTGAGTGGATGCGTCTACTGTAGCTCTCCACCCCTTTAGAGATGGGACGAGATCGTCTGAAGAGTACTCGATAATTGGGGTGTAGCGGCGGCATGCTCTTAAAATCATAGAGCCTGGAGGTGATGAACCTGAGGAATTTTTCCAGACTTGTAAGGTACGATATTGTAGTTCGCGGGGGTTTCTTTCCACTTTGTAGTTGAGGATCTACCCATCTTGACCAGACTGCATGGCCTTGCTCTTCACCGAGCACCGTTATATCATCTCCATCTTTATCAAGGGCTTCAAGGAGAAGCTTAACCTGGCCAACGTGCTGGAGTTTTAGTGCATCTTTTTTGTATCCAGCATCTGGTAGGCCTAGGTACCTGTAAAACCCGCAAAGCCACTGATGTCTGTTGTCATCATATTTAGTTGCGGTATAGTACTCCAAGGCTCCAGGTTGGGATTTAATCTTTGCTGCATTATCGTCATCTTCATCATCTTCATTATATTCGTCATCTTCACCATCCTCATTATCTTGGTCATCTTCATCATCATCATCTTCATTATCTTGGTCATCTTCATCATGTTCTTCGTCGTCATCATCATTATTTTCGTCAACATCATGTTCATTATCTTCTTCCTTTTGTCCATCATCTTTACCTCTTGATGTGTCCGCTGGCTTTGTCACATCTTCCCCTGCCTCTGAAAGCAGGACTGGCAAATCTTCCTCTGACGGTTTTTTCCCTTCTAGAGATTCTTCTCTGTCCTTTACAAGGGCATGGACTTCACCAAGTCCACTGTAGGGCTTTGCTGCCTTCAGCTTGACTCTATACTCTCCCTTCTTGACGTGTGTCCACAAGTGCCTTTTTATGTCTTGGCCATGAAACTTGCAGCCAGGCACCTTGCATTTAACTTGGCTGTGATGGCTACGCTTTCTTTTTGGAGTAGAGTCTTCATCCGAGTCTTGTGAAGTCAACTTTTTTGTCCTTGGTCTTTTTGGAGTAGAGTCTTCATCCGAGTCTTGTGAAGTCAACTTTCTCTTCCTTGGTGTTTTTGGAGTAGGGTCTTCATCTGACTGTTGTGTTGGAGTAGGGTCTTCATCCGAGTATTGTGAAGTCAACTTTTTCTTCCTTGGCGTCGGGGGAATGATATCATCATCATCATCTGAATCTTGAAACCCTTCGTTTATTTCTTGCTGGAAGAGTGTCCTGTTTAATTGTTCTGGGAAAGGATCACAGGACATGAGCGCCATTTCTTCGAGGATGTCTTCTCTCTCTACTGAATAACTGTCCTCCGGAAACTCTTTGTTAAACTTTATTCTGGCTAGTTGCCTCATACATCTCAGATAGTTTCGAGACATTGATTGATACCTCTGCATCCCCAGCTTCTTTGTTGCCACATACAAAGCCACTGTCTCCTTGTAATCACACTTCATTCCCACCCACTCTGGCGGCAAATCACTTTTTGGTGTGACGTAGCTGTCTTCCACGTCCAGATATTGCAGGGCCTGCTCGTCTTCTTGCATAGCTCGCTTAATCATTTCTTCCAATATGGTATGCTTTCCAGCATTGGCGATCTTTGAAGCCATATTGACAATCCTAATTGCAATTTAATTAAGGGAGCTTACTTTCAAAACTTTCTCCTAAAAGGATCTTTACTAGTCGTTGTGCTAATCGTTCTCCCCCCCGGATTCGGCCCCCCCGGTTAGTCATAAAGTGGTACTGTGCTTAAGTAATGTATCTGTTAAATTTGAAAGAAGTAGATTGAAATGCATTGGAGATATTTAGGGTTAAAGTTTGCCTCGTCTCTGTGCAAAAATCCCGAAAAAGGGACTGGTTACGAGTTTTCTGGTCCGCCACATTGGAAAAAAATTTAACCTTCTATAAATGGAACGCGATAAGTCCGTTTCCAATAATTTTTTGCCACAAGATAGCCCTGACAAAAGGCTAAGTGGATCACTTATTACCTGAAGTTTCCGTACAAACCACTAGCTCATATTACCGTGTGACATTTGACCTTAAATGACGTAATAACTTGTAACAGCATGTATCGATTGTCATAAAAATGATGCCGAACAATTCCTTGCATCTTTATCTAACCAACTAGTGCAATAATGGAACCTCATAGTGCATTAAACGCCTATAATAGCTATCACTTGACCATTAATATGTGATCGTGAAGGAGAAATCAGAGTGTTAATTTTCCCATACTGAGTTACTATTTGCACAAAACCACTTTCTTCAATTGAGGTTATTTTTCCCAGTAACATATTGGGGTGCAGCGGGCTTGTTTTGTCGACTTTGTCAATTTTTGCTGCCACCATATCAGCTACTTTGAACTTGGGCTGTTTTTTCTCTTGCTTTCTCTTTGTTTGGTTCACCATGGCTGCGTTGTATTTTGTTTGGTTTTCTATTATTTTTTGCCGTTTTCTTGGTTGGTCTTCATCTTGTTGTGGTTGTGAATTTTTTCATTGCTTTCTTCCAAATTGTTTTCTTCTTGTTCAGATTGGCTTTCTTTGCTCTGTTCATTTAGCTTTTCCCTGTGAGGTTTTATTCCGTATACAGCTTCGTAAGGGGAGACTTTGATGGTTCGGTGGTATGAGATGTTTCTGGTATATGAGGCCTCTCTCGTGTACTGGCACCATTTCTTGATGTTTTTGTCTGCTGTGCTCACTATCAGTGACCTCATGTCTTGTTTCCAAGATAGGTTGCTTCTCTCAGTTAGCCCTTGGGTTGTCGGTGTCCGAGGTGCGCCATGTGATAAGTCGATGCCGTTATCCCTTGCAAAACATCTTTAACTTCTTGTTTTGGAACTCTCCCCCATTGTCTGTGATTATTTTCTTTGGAAATCCGTAGGTGTAACAGTACTCTCGGAGGCTTTTTAATACTGCATCAGCTGCTTTTTGTTGTAAGGGCACAACTGTCACGAACTTTGTGTGATGATCAATTATGTTCATCGCCCAAGTATGCACGTTCTTGCAGTCACAGGGGGTATTTCGAAAGTCCATGAGATCGATTTCAATCAGTTACAGGAATTCTGGAGATTGAAGTGGCTTGGTTACCATCTTAACGTGGCTTGTAATGGTCTTCTGCTCTTGATGAATTTGGCACAAACTTACAAATAGGTTCACAACTCGTACATTCACTTCAGAATAATTCTCGTTAATCCACTTTGACGTTATTTGTCTGCCTCTATGTGCTGTCCTTTGATGTGCCAAAGTCAGAACATCGTATAGTTGACTCTTCGGTACAACTACCGTTTGCTCGATGGTTAAGATTTTCCCTTGATGGTACGACCATTTCTTCCTGTTGATTGTTGTTGCTTGCCACTTTGTTAATTTCGTCGTATCGTGATTTGTATTGGAGTCGCTGACAGCGTTCTCAGCTTGGCTTTTTAGGAACTCTTTGGCCGAGTCATAAAATTCATCTTCAATGAATAGAGTTATTTGTGAAGAATTGTGTTTCTGGTTCTGTTTATAGGTGTGTAATTCTTTGTAGAATGCTTCTTTTGACACACACTCCATGATTGTTTGAAGGGTTGAAGGGATGTTAATTTCAGCGAAGTCTGAATTGGTAAGTTCTGCGCATGTGTGCATAATTAGGTGCAACGAGAAGAGCCTAGGAACTGCAGCAAGAATTTAAAATGCAATTTAAATATGATTTTCCAACGAAATCAGTGGTGGCTCAATGGATAAGATGACGGACTGGTAAGTTAGTAATATCCAAAGGTACGTGGTTCAAATCCTAGTAGGTATGGTGTAAAAAAAGAAAAAAAAAGGAATGTACCATGGTGTGTGGCTTCTGAGAAGGTAATCTGAGGTAAGTGAAAGTGGAAGGGTAGGAGGAAGGATAAGGACATGAGGCAAGCATAGGGAAAAAGTAATTCAAGCAGGAATGAGACTTTTTGCTGTAAAGCTTTCTTTGTATCAATTTTGTTAAATAATTAATCATCCCCCCCAAAAAGTACCATGCCCCTTTTTTTTATCCACACCCCAAATAAATTAAATCCCTTTTTATAATGTTACATAAATGGGACTGGTTTAAAATATTTTGTACCAGTTCAGAAAAAATTGTACCAAAGGAAAAAATTTGACTACAACATACACACTAAAGACCCATTTTTTTCAATCAGCGCTAATAAATTTTTGGACAAGGCAAAATCCTTCTTCCCCTGCGATTCCTGCATCCCATCCCCATAAAAATAGGAAATCCTGCTTCCGCTGGTTATTAAAATTCACACATCCCACTCCTCTTTTCAGCTCGCATCTTGAGTATCACCACGAAAAATAGTTAAATCCCACATTTGACAAACCTATTGTGGACCCTCTATCAAGGGTGTATATATATGTGCAAAAATACATGTCCCCACTACTGAGCCCATAGTATGTTTTCTTCCCTTTGCTCAGCATTTTTGTCAGTGGTTGTTTGAAAGGAAAGAATAATGTTAACTGCTGACTTGAATGTTTGTTAAAGAAGTTATACAACAAGTTGATGTTGTGTTGTGAAGTATTGAAAGAAGCTGCTATCATGATAGTTCTGAGTACCTTGCCAGATCACTCACATTTTTACTGTATTTAATTATTGTTTAAGGCAAGAATAGCAACAAGAGAGAAGTTATAAAGCATTAAAGTTCTTAAATTGTGAAAGGACAATTTTGTGTAAAAATCCAGTATGGGCTCTGGTTGCCGGTTTGTGTTGGGCTTGGCTTTCAAAGGGGTAAGAATGTCCAGTTGCTCATCTTTGATGGGTTTTATAAAGTTGCGCATGGTTTTCAAAGGTTTCTCTTCTTGACCAGGAATAGACTTGGTTCGGAATCAAGACATATGAATTGCCAACCTCTACTTTCTGTGTGACTCCCACAGGTCAACAGAAATTGTTACGGTTTTGTGAACAAATATTGCATTTGACAAGTTTAGTTTCTTCTGTCCAACAGTAGTTGTTGCATGCTTTTTCATGATTTTTCTTCAACTGTCACCAAGTCCTATCCTTTTTTGGAAATCAAGACTTCTAGTACTGATAAGGGGTTCCCTTTGTCAGGTTGAGGTTCATATTCCAATGGCTGTGGAATGGAAACCAATGTCATGTTGTTAAAGATGATCTTGCTTCTGTCTTCAGTTACGGATGTGTGCAATAAAAAAAGATAAAAAATTCCCAGCTTTAAGGTAGAGTTACTTCCCTTTGTCAGCTGGGAATAATGCCCAAATGTGGGCGGAATGTGCATTCTGTTGTAATGCACAATCAAACATAATTTCTGCATAAAATTAACTCTTTAAATAATGATAAGTTTTCAGCCACAGTCAGCCCAGTCTTCGATAAAGTATCACTGTGTATTATACTTCTGTAAGCTTACACTAAATTTTAGCATTGTTTTAACTGTTTAATTTACCAGTGATCGTTAGGTCCAAACTACAAGCATACAGTGTATGAGGGGGAAAATGAGCCCACACAGGGGGAACAAAAACTCTTGCAAGATGATAGCTGTCATTAAAGCATACATGTGGTGACCACTGTCTTTGTATCTTGTAGAATGTTTACTAAATTCATTCACGAGAGTTATTGAAGGAGAGTGTGGAAAAAGAGTAAGTGACTGTTAATAAAGTGCTAGATTCTTTATTTCCAGATGAAACCAAAGGAGTATTTAACATTACATTGAAAGTGACTCACTTAAGGCTTGGTTGTGTACATCTTGTTATAGGAATAGTAGAACTTGATTCTTTTGTCATTGTTGTTCGAAAAATGAATTTTAAGCATGGTTTTCATAAGTTATTGTCTATGAGTAGCAAAAATACAGTAAGTTAATCCCATTAACAAATAGATTCCATTTGGTTGTGCGTCTGTTCAGTTATAGATCACAGAAGACGTCAAAATGAAGAACAGAAAAGTGGCCCACGAGCCGATAGGCGAGTGGGTCACTGATGTTCTTACCACATTTTGACGTCTTCTGTGATCTATAACTGAACAGACACACGGCCAAATGGAATCTATTTGTTTTATATAGTAAAGAAACAAAAATTAATAAAAGCATTTTTATTTCGAAAGAAGGTACAAAGCAGGGCCGTGTTGGGTTTTTCCGACCACGAAAAAAGTGATTTGAGGTCATTTGTTATCTATGCAAAATGGAGCAAACTGATTGGTTGCAGGGTGTAGCAACGAATTGTGATTGGCTAAGGAAATCACGCCACTGTCAAAACTTAATCGAGAAGTTCGCCTTTCGTGGAACAAAACATCACAGCGAAAGCTCAAATTTGATTCGGAAATCTTGAAATGTGTTACAAAATCAGCGTGCAAAGAAAGTAGTGTCTGATAGCCCAGGGCTAGTGGATTTTGCTATCGGGCTAGTGAAATCTGTTTTTAACTTGCCCGACGGGCAAGTCATGTTCTTTGAGGAATTCGAATAACAGAAGAAGTGTGAAATCAATTCTGCTCAACGAAAAGCTTTTGGGGCTAGTTGCAATAACGTCTGGGCTAGCAAATGCTAGCTTCAGCTTGCCCAAATGGCAAGCTGTAAAAATGATTTTCTTTGCACCCTGAAAATACTGCTAAAATCTAGTCAGTTTTGCTCATCAGAGCGGCTCTGAAGCCCGTAGAA